GTTTGTCACGGTTAGATTGGTAATGCCCAAATATAGTTTACGCCAAACTAAACCAAACCCTTATTTCAGAGGTGGATAACACACCTGATTCAAGAGATAGTTTCCTTAACACTGCTGGGATTTGGACCCAGGATCTCCTGTTTACAAGACAGGCACTTTACCAATAGACAGGAAGGGCTACAGCACCCTCCCTGCCTATATTAGGGAGGGTGCTGTGGCCATTACTCTTGAATTTTCTAAACATATCCGTTATTATAACTAAACCCTCTCCTATGCTCGAGAGTAGTCTTTCTTTTTAGGCTTTAATTTGTCAGCAAGAAAGTGAAAACGGTTGCTTTTAGGAACACCCAACCTCTATAAATTATGATTTTCTCAATGAGGCTACTGTTCCTTATATAGATATTTACCAGTGGGCATCAGATACATCTAGTTTAAAAAATCTAACTTATAAACACAAACTAACCCAAACCATTACTTCAGAGGTGGATAACAGTCAACTTAAAATCCTTACCAAACATTTACTATTAACTTGTTAGCGATGAGAGCTGGGATTTGGACCCAGGATCTCCTGTTTACAAGCAGGCACTTTTACCGCTAAGCTACAGCGCCTCCTTCACCAAAATCTATATTGCAAAAAGACAGCGAGATAGCAGATTGAAACAATGCTAGATCAAAAACATTCAGCTTTGCAACAGTTTTTATGTTAAAAGGAAATTGTTTTGACTCGTTTTTTAAACCCTATACATCCTCACAATGAGTTTGGGTGAGTAACTCTGAATATAAACGTAACTTTGTTTGAAAGAAAAATGAAGAGGCCACTTTTATCTGCTCCTTGTTGGATGTGATTGGGTGGACTGTGGTGGGATGTGGGACTAATTTGTTTTGGGTAGTTTTGTAAATGTAATCAAGTACTCTAGAGATAATCTCTGCAACAAAGAGGCGCTGCTGGGAATTGAACTCAGGATCTCCTGTTTACTAGACAGGCGCTTCGACCGCTTTTATTATTTTTTATTTTTTAACTTTTATTATCAAAAATAGACATTTAACAGTTCATCACAATTACATAAAGCATTTACAATATATAACAAATACACACATTTAAATCACAACAGCTTCATAATTTGTTTGAAACCATGGAAAAGCAGACAAAACATAAAACAAGAATAAATATACCAAACTACTATATATAACAAAAAATAACTCAGGCATATTAAATCAAAAAAATTGAAACAAATAACAAACGCAAAAAATAAAACAAACACTCCTCCACCAAAACCTAAATTGATGTAAACCTATAAACAAGAAAAACAAACCAAACTCAAACAAATCAAATTGAATCAATCAAAACAAAACTGAAAAATAGTGTCTCTTATGTCATTTTTCAAAGTTGAAGCACAGAGCCCCCTCCTCATCCAGCTCAATTAATGTGGTGCCAGTTACGAAGTCCTCGCAAAGTATGTCCTTTTTTACGTGTATGTCCTTTTCAGTATGTACAACATACCAAACATTTACGATTGAATGTAATTGAATATGGTAACGATTATAGGTTTATCCAGCGCATCTATATGGCGCTGGGTTTATCTAAATAGAACCTTTCTGCAACAAAGAGGCGCTGCTGGGAGTTGAACCCAGGATCTCCTGTTTACTAGACAGGCGCTTTACCGTTAAGCCACAGCACCACGTCAACGGCCGTCGTTCGTCTAAGTTAGGCTATTGAGTAGTAGAGTTAATTTCGTTGACTACAATTTTTTTTTCAGGCTGTAAAAATGCCATCAATAGCCAACACTCTTGAATTTTCTAACAGTATGTATCTGTTATTATAACCAAACCCTATATTCTCTAGTAGAGTCTTTATTTCAGCTTTTTGTGTGAAAGTGAAAACGGTTGATTCTTTTGTTTTTGGGAACAGCCAACCTCTATAAATTATGATTTTCTCAATTGCAGTTCCTTATATAGATATTTACCAGTGGGCATCAGATAAATCTAGTTTAAAAAATCTACCTTATAAACACAAACTAAGGTGGATAACAGTCAACTTTAGACCATAAACTTAGTAATTTTCAAGTACAAACTATACCAAACATTTTCGATTGAATGTAGGCTAATTGATCATGGTAACGATGAGAGCTTTATTATATTTCTCGGCAACAAAGAGGCGCTGCTGGGAGTTGAACCCAGGATCTCCTGTTTACTAGACAGGCGCTTTACCGTTAAGCCACAGCACCGTGACACCGACCGATGTTCTTCTCAGATAGTATACTGACTAGTAGTGTTCATTTCGTTGACTAAAACTATGTTGGTCAACGACTTGATTTAGCATGACAAAATAGAAACTCTCTCCAACAAAGAGGCGCTGCTGGGAGTTGAACCCAGGATCTCCTGTTTACTAGACAGGCGCTTTACCGTTAAGCCACAGCACCATGTCTCACTTCTGCCCTCTCAGTTACCTTAATCCCTGCACTTGTTAATATCGTTGACTAAAACTATGACGAAATATGTTGGTCAACGACTTCTTTTTCCATGACTGAGACGATGACGAGACGGCACCGACGTCAGTAAACAATATCTGTAACGAAATCAACATGCAATATCGTTGACGAAAAATGACGAGACGAAAATGTAGTTTACTAGATAAAAACGTTGCCAAAATCTCTCTTTATTTTCCTTGAAGAAAAAGGAGGAGACAAAATATTATCAAAGATAACATCTCTGATAATCAGTTTTTCTCCCAGCAGTTCCATTTCCGGTGCTGCGGTCGGGCAGCAGCTGTGTCTCTGTGCTGCGCGCGGCGGTATACATTTGAATTACACCGGGCCAGCGGCACACTGAACTGTCAGGAAGACTAGGATCTAACTAACCTTATTTAAAATAAAATAAAATGGTAATAACAGGACTTTTATTAAAACCAAACCCTCTCCTATGCTCTTGTCTTTCTTTCAGGTTTTTCTTTGTCAGTAGAAAGTGAAAACGGTTGCTTTTAGGAACACCCAAACTCTATAAATATAAAAGGATTTTCTAAATTACCGTTCCTTATAAAGACATTTACCAGTGGGCATCAGACAAATCTAGATTAAACAATCTAGTTTATACACCTAAACTAACCCAAACCATTACTTCAGTGCAGGTGAATAACAGAAAACTTTAAACTATAACGTCGTTTTTAAAGTCGTTTTCAAGTACAAACCATACCAAACATTTACTATCGAATGTAATTGAACGTGGTAACGATGAGAGCTTTATCTAAATATATTTTTGTTGCTCTCTGCAACAAAGAGGCACTGCTGGGAGTTGAACCCAGGATCTCCTGTTTACTAGACAGGCGCTTTACCGCTAAGCCACAGCACCCGCCCACGAATTTCCGTATGTTTGAGTTTATATAGTCAGTAGTTTCCATTCATTCTTCACAGGCGCTTTACCGCTAAATTACAGCACCCGTTTTTACATCCACTACCTCCTTACTTTTTAACTTCCATTGTGTGATTGTGCATTCATAAAGTACCAAACCGAAAATATGTTTAGCTGTAATCTTGCATCCTGTTTGTCTGTTTGTCACGGTCAGGTCAGAGCCGTTTTGAGAGTTGCGAAAGCGGAAATCCAAAATGCTTGATAGTCACGTGGTTCTCGTAGACTCAGATAGTTCCCGGAAGTTCGTGGCGGGCCATCTGAATGCGTTAATAACAGAAGATAGAACTGGGATTTTTGGTAATTAGTAGTCAATAAAGGGTTTGATTTGCAATATTTATACAACATATTGATATGTGGATGTAGTTAGATCAATATGTTTTAAAAAAAGTAACATTTGCTAGTATTTGAGGATTAATATACTTTATTTATACCAATTTGGGAAATGTTTTCTTTGCAGCAGCAAAAGACAAGGCATTGTACATAAGAGAAGTTAAAAGACTAGAAATAAACAATCCAAAATGTAAACATCTGAAATAGAAATAAAGCATTTAATAGCATTAAAAAAGTAGAAAATATACATAGTGTGAACAGCTATTTTACCTGCCTTAACATAAGGCCAACGTTGCCTTGGTTAAAGAGCGTGTTGCTGTTGTTTATTGCTTTAAATTCTTTAAAATAAATATATTGTTCTTAAATCTGTATGGTAGTCATGAGCATCACATCCTAATGTTTATTGATATATTTATAGGGAGGGGATGGGAAGGAATGTTTAAAAATTCAGATTAGATTCATTTCTACCATTTCTTTAATTCATGGTGGTTTCAGTAATCCCATGGCAATTGAGGACCTAAGTAATATACATGAGAAAGTGTAATCTTTATGACTTTCAGAAAGGACAGGAGACCGAGAGGTGCCTATCAAAGATTGTCAACTGACAGCACAATAAGTCAAAGAACTAGCAGCAGCAGCAGCAGCAGCATGATGATGATGATGATGATGATGTTAAATGTGTTGTTTTAGGAACAGCCATTGTAAATAAATGGAATTCAATAAACATCAAATAGCATATCATGCAGTTTGTCTGTGCCTTTTCCTCCGTGTTGTCCTGGCATATAGTCTCCACCATGAGACTATAAAAACATTGTTGCTGTGCTGCCTGGGGGTGCTCCAATCGCTCAGAAAAATCGCTTGAAAAAATACTAGATCAGAAACATTACAAAAAATATATATGTAAAAGTACAAAATCCACTACTGTTCTTAACATTTGTCATCAAAGTAATAGAATGTGTCACAAAGTGCTGTCTCATTGTATTTATTCCTTTTTGAGATCTTGCACTCCCAGATAAATGTGGTTCAAAAAGTGTAGTTTCTAATTATACACCCAAACTAAACCAAACAATTACTTCACGGGTGGATAACACAGCTAATACTGCAGTGACTTTTTCTAAAAATTCTGAATTTAAAATCAGAACAAAACTAAAATAACACTTTTGGTCAGATGTCCAAAAATGTTCAGTGCACCAATCATCTTCCGTTAAGCTTACATGTTACATTTATTTTGTAATAATGGACAAGATTCCTGCAGATCCTCGGTATCACCGGTATGCGGCTCGGGGTGTCCCGGCTGAGAGCTGTCTCTCATCAGCCGGCAGCAGCAGCAGCGTGGGTGGAGGACCGGGGATATTACTGCAGTCACACCGAGACTCAGAGCCGGTGAGGCGGGCAGACAGCTGCAGAGAACACCGCATGCTTCAGACACAACCGCTGTTTCATCCGGCTCATATTTTTACTGTAAGCACCTGGAGCTCACGCTTGATAGTGAAACTACTCTTCCATCGTGATGTATGGCTGGAAGGGATAACTTATGAATATATATATATATATACTTCATAAGTTATTTTAATTTTAGTTTTCATTTAAAGTTAATACAAGTTATTATATATATATATACCGACCAGCGGTAGCGTTTCTCCGGGGGAGAGATTGCTGCTGCGGAAACCGGACTCATTTGAAAGGGAAACAATGAGTTTCACTGTGTGTCGCACCTCACACAGGGGTGCAGGTCTGCGGGTTTGCATATGCAGAGATTTTGCAATGTGTGACTCTGATTATAAACCTTATCAAATGGACTCATTTTGGGTAGCATCGCACATTTAATTCAGGTGCTCTCTGTAACAAAGAGGCACTGCTGGGATTTGAACCCAGGATCTCCTGTTTACGAGACAGGCGCTTTACCACTAAGCCACAGCGCCTTTATGATCCGTGCTTCTATCTCTTCAAATTAACATCCATTGCTTCCTTTTATTTCCACAACACATTTTTAAGTCTGTATAACATTGTATTCACAAAGTCCCAAAGCCAGAATATGTTGAGCTGTAATGTTGCACTTCTATAGGCCTAGTTTTACGCCTAAACTAAACCAAACCCTTATTTCAATATTTGGCCTGTGAGATTTAATGAATGACTCGATGAGCACCGAAAACTGTCTCCGTCTGCTTCACTCCAAGTAGTTTAACCCAGATAATATCCTTTGAATGCAGGTTAAAACTTCTCTGCTCTAGGTGGTGCTTGAACTCACAACCTCGGCAGGTTAGTGTCTTATAAGTACCACACGATGACCGATTGCGCCACTGGAGCACAACATGTATATAATATTAAAAACAATAGCCATTGGTCTTACATTTTCTAAATGTATCTGTTATTATAACCAAACACTCTCCTATGCTCTCGACGTCTTTCTTTCATGTTTTTATTTGTCAGTAGAAAGTGAAAACGGGTGCTTTTAGGAACACCCGACCCCTATAAATCAGGATTTTCTAAATTACCGTTCCTTATATAGATATTGCAGTGGGCATCAGATCAATCTTTACAAAATCTAGTTTATACACCCAAACTATACTATCGTTTTAAAGTACAAACCATTCCAAATATTTACTATTGAATGTAATTGAACGTGGTAACGATGAGAGCTTTATCTAAATATATTGTGTTGCTCTCCGCAACAAAAAGACACTACTAGGAGTTGAACCAAGGATCTCCTGTTTACTAGACACGCGCTTTACCGCTAAGCCACAGCACCCGCACACGCAATCCGCCCTTCCCAGTTAATATATATTACAGTAGTCTTCTTTCATTCCGTTCACAGACGCAGCACCGGAAATGGAACTGCTTAGCTGAGAAAAACTGATTATCAGAGATGTTAAGTTATCTTTGATAATATTTCGTCTCCTCCTTTTTCTTCAAGGAAAGTAAAGAGAGATTTTGGCAACGTTTTTATCTCGTCATTTTTCGTCAACGATATTGCATGTTGATTTCGTTACAGATATTGGTTACTGACGTCGGTGCCGTCTCGTCATTGTCTCGTCTTAGTCATGGAAAAATAAGTCGTTGTCCAACATATTTCGTCATACTTTTAGTCAACGAACTGAACACTACTACTCAGCCTAGTAAATGAGAACAGCTACGATTGTCAACATGGTGCTGTGGCTTAACGGTAAAGCGCCTGTCTAGTAAACAGGAGATCCTGGGTTCAACTCCCAGCAGCGCCTCTTTGTTGCCGAGAGCTATAATAAAGCTCTCATCGTTCAATTACATTCAATCGTAAATGTTTGGTATAGTCTGTACTTGAAAACATCTAAGTTTATGGTCTAAAGTCGACTGTTTTCCAAGCAATGGTTTGGATTAGTTTGTATTTATAAGGTAGATTTTTAAAACTAGATGTATCTGATGCCCACTGGTAAATATCTATATAAGATAAGAAAATAATAATTTATAGAGGTTGGGTGTTCCTAAAAACAAAAGAATCATCCGTTTTCACTTTCACACAAAAACCTGAAATAAAGACTCTACTAGAGAATAGGAGAGGGTTTGGTTATAATAACAGATACATACGCTTAGAAAATTCAAGAGTGATGGCTATTGATGGCATTTTTACAGCCTAAAAAAACATTTTTAGTCAACAAAATTAACACTACTCAGCCGGTTGAGTGAGAGGAACGACTGGTGTTGACGTGGTGCTGTGGCTTAACGGTAAAGCGCCTGTCTAGTAAACAGGAGATCCTGGGTTCAACTCCCAGCAGCGCCTCTTTGTTGCAGAGAGGTTCTAGTTAGATAAAACTCTAATCGTTACCATGTTCAATCGTAAATGTTTGTTAAGGTTTATACTTGAAAACAACTTAGGTTATAGTTTAAAGTTGACAGTTGTCCATTCCTGAAGTAATGGCTTGGGTTAGTTTGTGTTGATAAATTAGATTTTTTTTAAATAGATTTATCTGATGCCCACAGGTAAATATCTAGGGTGCGAAGCTCGAACACGCACACCTAGGCCTGTCGCGATAAGCAATTAATTGATTTATCGTACGATAAATCAAAATGAACTCGATAACTTTTTTGACCTCGGTACATTTCCGTTTACATGCATGTTTGTTTACATAAGGATGTGACCAGCATTTTAGCCAGGCGCGCTGTGGCTGCCGGCCACTCTACCGGCCCGGCGCGCTGTGTCTACCGGCCCGGCGCGTTGTGAGGGGCGGGGCTCACACACAGCCAGGTCTGGACACAGGGCTGTACCCAGACTTTTAGATAAATAATATAGAGACAAGCAGGAGACAACGTGTGACTTACTCGAGGGGAATTTAAAGTTAAATGGAATTGGTTGCAAAACCTAATTCCACATCTCCGGTGTGGGAATATTTTGGAATTAAGCCAAATCAACGAGGCGAACCTACGGACTTGAATGAGCTGCCGGTATATCGCATTTGTTTCAAAAAAGGTAGCAACAAAAGCTACGACCAACCTAAAACTGCACCTGAAACACAACCACCCCATTCCGTTTTCCCAGCTGGGAGCCAACACGGCAATGGATGTTTCCTTTTGCACTTTTTTTCTTGAGACAACAGGACATGTTTGGTTTTTTCTTTGAGGGAAATGTTTTTTTTTAAGCTGTTGTTGTCCTGTGGAAAAATGTAATCATAAGAAATGACTCCGGAAAAGCTGCAGATAACCACTGCTCCCAAGCCCTGTTGTTGCCATTTTATTTTCTGTTAAATAAGGTTAGGTAGATCCGAGTCTTCCTGACAGTTCAGTGTGCCGCTGGCCCGGTGTAATTCAAATGTGCCGCCGCGTGCAGCACAGACATAGCTGCTGCCCAGACGCAGCAGCGGAAATGGAACTGATGGGAGAAGAACTGACTATCAGAGATGTTACGTTATCTTTGATAATATTTCGTCTCCTCCTTTTGCATCAACGAAAGTAAAGAGAGATTTTTACATTTTCGTCTCGTAATATTTCGTCAACGATATTGCATGTTGATTTCGTTACAGTTATTTTTTACTGACGTGGGTTCCGTCTCGACATCGTCTCGTATTAATCATGGAGAAAAAAAAGTCGTTGACGAACATATTTCGTCATATTTTTCATGAAAGTAAATGAGAAGAGCTCCGGCCGTAGACGTGGTGCTGTGGCTTAACGGTAAAGCGCCTGTCTAGTAAACAGGAGATCCTGGGTTCAACTCCCAGCAGCGCCTCTTTGTTGCCGTGAGCTATAATAAAGCTCTTATCGTTACCATGTTCAATTACATTCAATCGTAAATGTTTGGTATAGTTTTTACTTGAAAACGACTACGTTTATGGTAGATTTTGAAAAAATCCGTGTATCTACCGTCCAATTGTTTTTCTTTATTAAACACGTAAACGGAAGAGCGTCTGAGAGGCGTTTTCGCTTTTTGCTTTTTACCTTACTAAATGGTCTAATGGTCATTGGAGCGAGGGGTGGGGCCAAACTCACGGAAGTAATTTCAAAACAAAAGCACTCGTTGGCTAAAATCACACTTTGAATCACCACAGTATCCTGCTGAAGGAACGGTGATTATTATAAAAAAGGTGAATTTAGCGATCACAACAAAAAAGGCCAAGACACATATTGAGCCCAGAGAATGGATGTTATTAAGGGCTGTAAATATAATAAGCCTATTTCTAAAATGGACAACATTGTTAGGAGATTTAAACTATAGGCTACAGCGGTTCTGCACTGCGGTCACTCAGCCGTCTCTCGAGTTTGCTTTTTCAAATCAGCTGCTCTTCATTATTCCTGCTATATTTGACGAGTGATACAAATATTTGTTACCACAAGTTCTTAAGGAAACTGACACTGTTGGACTCGGTTGTTTGACTTCTACCAGAAATAAAATGAAGTGCTTCTTCTGTGTACTTTGTGAATAATCCTCTCATAGTCCCCCCCATAATGCATGTTTTTCTGCTATCTTTGATGAATGATACAAATATAATTTTACCATTACTTCTTAATGAAATTGTTGCTGTTTGACTTTGTATTAGCATACTACTTACAATACATTGAAGTACTTTTACTGTGTATTTTTTGAGAAATACTCTGTCAAAGTCCCCTGCTGAGAACAAAATCAAGCCAGTTCTGCTAAGTTTGATGAGGGAATTCTTTTTTGTTGCCATTAGTTCTTCGTGAGATTGATCCTGTTGGACAGGATCAATCTCACGAAGAACTAATGGCAACAAAAAAGAATTCCCTCATCAAACTTAGCAGAACTGGCTTGATTTTGTTCTCAGCAGGGGACTTNAAGAGTGACAGAGTGTGTCAGTGTGCAGTCTACCATCCTCTTAAAATACTCTGTCCAACAATATCAGTCTCATGAAGAAAGGTTTTTTAACGCTTATTCAAAATAGCAGAGAAACATGCATTGTTGTTCTCAGGAGGGGAC